TTGTCCGTCCTGAGTTTGGGTTACAGCTGGTGTGTGTATCGGTTGACTTGGTCGACTTACGCCCTGGAGGCCCGGGCCAGTCCGGGTCAACCAATGGTCGCCGTTCCGTGCACTGTTGCTAGGGAACACAGAGCCGCACTCATCGGACTTGCAGAACGGACAAGCTGTACCTGCAATTGTTTTGGAAAGATATTATTCGTGATTGCTGGCGTGGGAAAATAGCGCGATGTGAGACCGACCTTCAGCCATGCTTGTTTGTGAGGGAAATGGACCCTTCTGCGCCGATGCAAAAGTGTTACCTGACATTGCGCCACACAAGCTTATCACGCCTAACAACGGCTCCTAGGTTCTAAGCTGTCTGTGGTCTGGAACCTCTCTGGGTAGCCTGTCAGAGGGATTATGACGCATGAAAGGCTACATGCCTACATGTTTCATGATGATCGTTCCATAGGTTAGGAGCCTGCTTTAAAATGGCCTTTTTCGTCGCTGATGTCCGTGACCTTAAGCCGGATCCAAGGTCACCATGCTCAATAAATGACTTTTATCTTCAGGCGGTGATAAAATCGTGAATGTCTAAATATGATCGACCCAACCATAGCCAGCAATAAGCGCGGTATACACAACAGAGTCTGACTGCGGGCCGTCCTTTCGCCCGCCGTATGATATTTCTCCACAGGATTCTTTGCGCCCCCCCCCCCCCCCAGCCGAACAAGGCCAAACTGCTCCACCTCGGGTCACGACGACCAAGCGCTGGACCATGTCGCTCGGTCCGCTCTGCGCTCCGTCACTGTCACTGTCGCATGTCAAGCGTGCGACTCAGACCATGCCCATGCAGATGACCCTGCGTGACCTGATGTCATAAGTGCTGGCTAATGGGTGTAGAACACATTTGCGGTATTGCCCAATCGAGCGATATGTAGAACAACGGCTAGGGCCACCCAAATGAGCCCTTCAATGTGTGTCACCTTGCGCTAGGTGGGTGACTCGCGTGGCTCTGAGGGGAGCGTCACCTTACATGCCGTTTGTGATGAACCTTCGTCGAAACATGAACACGCGCAAACCTGTCGTGCTGGTCTCCGGTACTAAAGATGTTCCACTCACTTTTTAACAGTGTTCATTTGCGCAGAGCACTTTGGCAGACCAGGCTTCGTTGCCGAGCCGGTGAATGTCTCCCTTGGGCCTTTTTTTCCGCTCTCAGCCATCTAGCGGACCCGCGCGCCCGGTTCAAGGTCCTGCACTCAGATTAAGGCACCGGGGTCTCAGCAGCGTCCAGGGGCCCTGCTACCTCCCTCCGCAATCTCAGATGCTCACCAGCACCGCCTGGAGATCTGGTGTATTGAGTTGAACAGCAAACACTTGATTGTACAAGCGGTTTCTGGGTCTCGTGTCAACGTTTAAAGGTATGGTAGGTATGGTAAGCGATCGACTCAAAAGGCCAGCGGCTCGGGCTTCTCATGCATGGTAAGACGCATGTGAGTTTCCACTGCTACGAGCAGTTAACTTCGTTCAAATTAAGGAAAATTGATGCTAAAGATGGCATTAGTTACCTGTTTATCACTGGGTAAGCGTTAGCCCAAACAAGACTCTGCATAATTGTCAATGTTAACCTCTTCCCTCGAGAGCTTTTTTCGCCGCTCTACGAGAGGCCTCAGAGACTCTCCTCAACATCTCGATGTTTAGTAAGCTACAGTTACGGGAAAACGGTATTGGAGAGCGCTCTCAAATTTCAGCGGATAAGCGTGAGTGCACAACGAGGGGTGCAACCAGTGTTTTCTTAGGGGGGAGCGCGGAATTCAATTAATACGCATCAGCACTAAATTGTAATTGCTATTGGGAGCGATCTACATTTAAGAGGGAAACGAGTCGTACCTAAAGGGAGGGGGGGCTTGAGTATGTCCCTGTCGGAAAATTGCGAATGTGACATGTGATAGGTTAATCTGAACTACACGGCACTTTTTAGGCCCCTCCTGTTGTCTCAAGAACAAAGCACGCTACGACAATGCGGAAGACGGCATTAGATATAGCAATACCATTAGATATCAAAAGATTTCGCCTATAATCTGGCATGCTAAACAAGCCGCATCAATGGGGAAAACATCGTTACAAGATCCCTTCAACGCCGCCAAGTATGTGCTATTAAGCTTGTGTTGTTGAATAAAGTGTGGTCACACTTTCCCAGGGTGAAATTTTGGTAAATATCCAATTCTAACGAGTTCAACCTTGAATGACCCGATCATTTCAAAGTTATCAAAGCGATAGCAGTACACACCAGAGGGATATAACTAAGGAAAGTTCGGAAAACCTCTCTTGAAACAAGCGCTATTTGCCACTTTTCTGTGCAATATGGCCGACATGAATTCGCGGAAAAGGTCACAGGTAATCAAGCGTTGATATCAAACCCTTCAAACTTGAACACCTGCGGTAAAAACATGTGAATGCAGGACCCGAAATTTCAGCACTGTGTTCGAAATCGTTTGGACGATATTCCGGGGAAATATTACCGGAGGGTTTGTAAGATGCCGGCTTCACGGGCTGAATAATTCATGGGTACCCAGGTGCGATGGGCAGCGATTGAGTGGCATACAGACTTGAGCAAAATGACGAGCATGGCCATGGTCACGGATGAGACGTTCACGAAATGTCTGGTACACGCTCAAAGAAATATAACACCAATTATTATAATAACTTTTAAGCTGTTGCTGTCCGCTGCTTTAAGTCAACCTAAGCTTGTTTTACACTAGTTCTGCACTCAGAACCGCGAAAGGGTAAGTCGAGATGTAAACTTTTCTGGAACTCTTCCCTGATTAAGAACTTCAACGTGCTGGTAATGTGCCGACGGATGTGTACCGGGTGTGTACAGCTGAACAGAAGTGGGTAGCAGGTGGGTACATGCACGGCCACATGGATGGCAAATGGATTGGATAAAGGAGATCTCACCGCGAAGGCCTGGACTTCGAGGCCCCCTCGAAGGGCGAGGGTTTAGAATAGTTCACCTGTGATACTCGACGTGAGTGATCCACAGGTGTGCAGAGCACTCACGTCAGCAGCGTAGGGCGCACTGGACAGCGTCTCCACATATCCAGGTAAACAGTTAAGTGTTAACAGCCATCGCATGGTGTGCAGGACAGTGTAAGCACTTCGGTAATTTCTCTCACCATTTAGCTCAAGTGAATACTATTCATTTCAGCTTTTCATCCCAGTGAACTTAATATTGCCTGCAACAATAAATTGGATGGAAAATAAGTGAAATAAACTTGCTTCATATACCTTGCTGATGATGCAGCTGTACCCACAGGGCCATTATGTGTGGGCCACACATAATAACACCGATGGGATGGCTGCAGTGGGTCAGCTGTTGAACATACATGGCCCTGACAATTCACCACGATACATATTTTTGAACTAAGCTTCGACGAAGGCCTACTCCCATTAAAGCGCAGCGTACGCCATGTTCACCAGGCCAGGAGGCGCCGAGGTCAGTACCAGGTCACGCCCCCATCAGCAGTGCGGCGCGCCCGAGCCTGAGGCGGCGCGCCCCCGGTTCGGAGATGAGCTCAGCCTCTATTCAGCTGGCAGCGGCCCGCGGCCCGGCGATGGCCAATCGCCGTGGCGTTCCGCCGCGGGGATCGAGGAAGGGGTGGGGGAGGGGGAGGGGCGGGCAGGTCAGTAAATCTGCCGCCGGCACGCGAGCAGGCGAGTCGAGCCGAGCGGAAAACGAACGGCGCCCCACGTGGCCCGGCCGGCGCGCCAACAAACAAACCGTTATGACTCAATGCGGCCGGGCGTGGCGCCTCCGAGTCAAACCTGGCGCAGCGGCCGCCAATGTGGTTAGTGGATTGGAAATAACCTGATCGGCAGACGAGCAGACGCCGCTTCTGGGGGCGGTGAAGGCTCTTGAATTTAAAGCGCCTGCTTGGAAAGAAAAGGCGCGGTGAGAGAATGCCGCCCAGCAGGTGGGGAGAAATGCGACCTTTAAAAGCTCCCACTTCCGGATGCAGTCCGGGATGTGCTCGTCGCGGTCTCGGAAGTTGCTGCGAAGCTCTGTTTAGTGGTGAGAAGAACACAAACGGCTGCGTCTGTTCCGTACGGCGAAGCCGGCAGGACAGCCGTCGGTGACGTGACGCCTCGCCATACGGACGGTGTTCGTGCGAAAGAGTTCGTTAGTTTTCCGGAGGACCATCGACTTGATGCGAAAGCAGACGTTGAAAAGGAAGAGTCTCTATTAGCCAAGGAGTTGCAAGGTAAGGGTAAGAGAGGCGTTGGAAAAACGGCGTTGCACGCTCCGAAGTCGTCGTCGTCGTCGTCGTAAACGCTGACACGGCTCGCGTCGAGCCGCACCGTCGGAGTCTGAACGTGGACTGCTCGGCAGGGACCGTGCGTCCCCTCCCGCGTGTCCCCATAAGCCCACGTAGGTTTATGGACTCCAGATGATGGGGGCCAATCGGCAGAGGGGCCGCTCACACCATCGCGGAGACGCCGTCGCCGCCGCGCCGGCAGCGACGGCCCGTTTGCTCGCTAACATAGCCGGCCCGGTTTTTCGCGCCATTCGCGGAAAACCCTAACTGCAAGCGAGCAAACTATAGGTCGTAAACACTACACATGTCGAATAAACATAACACTATCCCTATAACACTATAAACATCAACAGCTAACTAACGGTCACTGTTCGTCCGCGGCAGGCGAGCGTTTTTGCACCAGCTACATTTAGAGCTAATGAGAGGCTATAAACTAAGACTATAACTACGTCTACACCCTACGACGCGAACGCTCGCGGCGCGCGTCGAGCAAGAATGACAGTATCCCAAACGACATAATAAACTGTTAACTATAGTATCGCGGCGCATATGGTCACAGTGAGGCGGTGTCGCACGGCACCGCCATAAACTGCTCACCAGGCGGGGCGCGCACAGTTATCGTCCCGTCACATCAGCGCTCGTCTGCGTCATGCTCGAAGCGGCAGAGGCGGGTGACAGGCCGCCTATATTGCCCGGTGGGTGTCGTCACGTCCACAACGCGAACCCGGCCGTCTGCGCCAGGGAGCACGCAGGCCACTCGTCCCACTGGCCAATGCCCACGGGGCACGCTATCGTCCGCCAACAGCACGAGTTCGCCGACCTTGATGTCGGCCGTGTCTATGCACCACTTAACTCTCGTGGTCACCGTGGGAAGATACTCCCGCCGCCAGCGCCGCCAGAAGTGATCTAGCAGCACCTGTGCGTGCGTCCAGTGCCGTCGGCGGCACAGGTCACCATCCTCGAACACGCCAGGAGGCAGCTGAGGAGAAGCCCTTCCGATGGGGAAGTGGTTCGGCGTCAGTGGCTGATAATCGTCGGGATCGGTGCCGACGTGCGTCAGCGGTCGACCGTTGAGGAGCGCCTCGAATTCGGTGACCACCGTCCGAAGCGTCTCGTCATCCACAACCCTGTCACCTAGCACGGTCGACAGAGCACGTTTGGCTGAGCGCACCAGACGCTCGAACACGCCGCCGAAGTGGGGCGCAGCCGGAGGGTTGAACTTCCACTCCACGCCTTCTTGTGACAGCGTGTCAGCGATCTTGGCCTGGTTCCACCGCTGCAGCGACTGGCACAGCTCGCGCTCACCGGCTCGGAGATTTGTTTCGTTGTCCCAGCAAACCAGCTTGGTCTTGCCGCGTCTCGCCATCATGCGTCTCATCGCGATGATGAATGAGTCGGTGCCCAGCGAGTGAGCCAGATCGATGTGGACAGCTCGAGTGGACAGGCAGGTGAGCAGACAGCCGTATCTCTTCTCCCTTTTACGCTGTCTCTTCACCGCCAAGGGTCCGAAGAAGTCCACGCCCACTCTAGCGAACGCTGGGGCCGGGTCACCCACGCGGAAGGCTGGCAGGTCGCCCATCAGTGGTGGCATGGGCCGAACTGACCGTTAACGACACACCATACAGGCGCGGGTGTATCGCTTTACGGCCGCCCGGCCACAGGTGACCCAGAACTGCTGCCGGATGTGAGTCAGGACGTATTCGGCGCCCGCGTGTGCTAGCTTCTTGTGATGGTCGGTGACGATCAGCCGTGTGGCGTCTCCCTTCGCAGGTAGTATTACCTGATGCTTGGCTTCGTAGTCGAGCTGGGAATGACGCAGTCGCCCTCCGACTCGCAGCAGGCCTCTCGAGTCCATGAAGGGCGCTAGCTGGTGAAGATGGCTGCCGGTTGGTAGTCGTCTTCCTTGTTGCAGAGCGGCGATTTCGGGCCCGAACTGCTCTGCCTGGGCGTTGCGGAGCCAGACGTGTTCAGCGTCACGCAGCTCGTGAACAGTCAGTGGCCCCAATCGTCGATCCGTCTTGGCACGGCTGTTGTGGGCGAAGCGGTGCACCCATGCTGTCACGCGCAGCAGCCTCAGCCACGATGAGTACCGGCTGGCGTTTATGGCCGGCGCCGCCGGAACAGTGACGCACGCTGTCACCCTCATTTCGGCCGCCTCCTCGTCTCCGGGGCGGGCTGTCAGGCAGGCAGGCGCGGCTGGCCAGTCGTCGGGGCAGCGCTACAGGAGACCGGTTTCGTACCGATCGCCGGCCCGTTTGGTGGTGTTGTCCAGGATGGGCATCGCTCTTTGATCCGCTTCTGAGTGCAGCTGTCCTTTCTCGTACCTTGTGCCGAAGGCCTCTGCCGTCCAGAAATGCTTAACCTGGTTTTGAAGGTCCAGAAAAGCACCCCTTTCGTCACTGACTCGGACGTGGTGCACACGCTTATCGCCTGGTGCGTGCATCGACCGCCGCGGCGTGCAGCCGGTCACAGTCCAGCCGAGCGGGGTCCTCACCGCGCTCGGCGTCCCTGGCGGCCCTTCTACTACCTCCCGCGGCACTATCAGTTCGAGCATGTCTGTGCCCAGCAGCACTTCCACCGGGCCGCGGGTCGTAATCGGAATGTCGAGCTCGGTGAGATGGGGCCAGCTGTTTTTCTCGACTGACCAGTCCATTGAATGATTCGACACATTCAGAGTAGACATCGTTTGAGCGTCTCCGATAACGTGCCTTTTGTCGCCGCTGCCCACAGGCTGGACTGAGAAACTTACGCGCCGTGATTGGAGCCGCTCATTTCCGTTTAGGGTACTCAGGACCAGCCCGTCCAAGGGCCCTGAGATACCCAGCCGGTCACAGAGGTTGTCGGTCACCAGCGTGACCTGGCTCCCGAGATCCAGGAGAGCGTGGGTCGTGTGACTCCCCGAGGGACCGTGCACAACGGTGGGCACTACTTGTAGTAGAACCTGGCTGCGTGGCTCAGTCGCCACTGTGCCAACGTGTTAAGCGTCTGTAGCCGGCGGCGAGCTGTCAGTGTTAGTGCGCCGTGGGAACACTCGCATGCCATTGTGGAGCAGCGTGTGATGCCGTCTCTCACAACGCTCGGCTTCGCATCTTTTGTCTCGAGGGCAGCTGGCGCTGATGTGACCGCAAGACAGACAGTTAAAGCAGAGTCTGCTTCTGCCGACAAACTCTGCCCTCTCGCTCACCGTCAACGCCAGGAATGCGTCACAGCACTGTATGTTGTGTGTACCTTGGCACATGGCACACGCGTCACGTCCCGCGGCCGCCGGCGGGTTAATGGTCGCAATCTTCTGCGATTTTACGGCCGTTACAGCTGACGCTGTGACGAACACTCGCCTCGGTCGGCCTTCTGGGATGTTGCCTTCGACTTAAGGTGACAGCTTGTGGCCCGCCTGTGTCGAGGCCACACGACCAGCAGCGACATGCCGACGCAGCCACCCGTCGAGGTCGATAAGAGTGGGGCGAGTGATGCCGTTCTCCACGACATACTCTCCCCATCTCCATGCCAGACTGGCAGGAAGTTTGCCGGCCACAGCTGTGACGTTTGTGGCGGCGGCGAGGTCTGGTCCGTACTGTAGACACTGCAGGACGCTCACTGCAGTGCGCAGGTTTCGTGACAGCTCGGTCAGAGCAGATAGTTCACCATCTCTGGCCGGTCGTGCCGAGAGGAGCTTTTTCATAGTTGCGTGGATCACACGCGCTGGGTCGCCAAATTCCTCTTCTAGCTCACGTAGGGCTGCGCCGTAGAGGCTGGCGTCACAAAGCATTCCACGTACGCCTCCCTTGCTGGCCCGGTCAAATGTGCTTGTAGATGCGTCAGCCTCTCAACGTCTGTGAGGTCGGCGCGGTCGTGCACCAACGCCTTGAACAGGGCGACCCATCTCGGCCATTCGAGAGCGGAGCCGCTGAACTTGTCCAGCGTTATCCGCGGCAGATGGGGATTCGCCCGTCTCTCAGCACCGGTCGGGCGCTGCAGCAGAGGCGCCGGTGCAGGTGAGACATTGGCAGGCTCTGCACTGGCTGGTCGCACGTTCGGTTGCAGCTGGGAGAGCCAATCCCTGATGCGTATGGCTGAGATGTCCGACTGCGGTTGCTCACGCAGCTGCACGGGCGGCTTAGCTGCAGCTGCCAATGGGCCTCTGACTAATGACGCAGCATCGCCGGCGTGCAGAGATCCACGCTCCTCCTGCTCCAGCAGCTCCAGCTCCAGCTGGCGGCGCTCCGCTTCATCCCTCAGCTCCTGAGCTTCGAGAGCTGCCTTTGCCTCCGCCCGTTGCCGCACCAGCTCCGCCTCTGCCTCCGCCTGTTGCTGCGCCAGCTCCGCCTTAACTGCCACCGCGCGCTGCCCCTGTTCCGCATGGAGCTTGCTCAGCGCAGCTTGGCGGCGAGCTTCGCTGGGGCTAGAGGAGGCTGTGGTGGCACCTGCCTCACTCCGGGTGTGGTAGGATGTCCTGCTTCGTTGTGATCTTGCATCACCGTCTTGTCCTGACCGGTTGTCAGACATCACTGATTGCACCGCGTTTCGTCGTCACTGAACGCTGTAATCCGTTCACCAGTTCACTTACATCCGGCCCGGAGGGACCAGAATGTTCGCTCGAAAGAGTTCGTTAGTTTTCCGGAGGACCATCGACTTGATTCGAAAACAGACGTTGAAAAGGAAAAGTCTCTATTAGCCAAAGAGTTGCAAGGTAAGGGTAAGAGAGGCGTTGGAAGAGCGGTATTGCACACTCCGAAGTCGTCGTCGTCGTAAACGCTGACACTGCTCGCGTCGAGCCGAGCCGTCGGAGCCTGAACGTGGACTGCTCGGCAGGGACCGTGCGTCCCCGCCCGCGTGTTCCCATAAACCCACGTGGGTTTATGGGCTCCAGATGGTGGGGGCCAATCGGCAGAGGGGCCGTTCACACCATCGCGAAGACGCCGTCGCCGCCGCGCCGGCAGCGACCGCCCGTTTGCTCGCTAACAGACGGGATGGCATGCTTCAAAATCGTTTTGCTAAAGCATGCAGCTCAAAGCCTTAGGCGTGGTTAGTTACGAGCAGATCATGAGCTCATGGCATCGCGGCTTTTGGGTAGCAGATGTTTCTACCTGGGCAATGTGCGACAGAGGGGTACAAGTAAAAGCAAACTTGCCATCAGCATCGTATGCGATATTTTTAACAAAGACGCCTTCTCCGATGCGCATCATAAGCTCGTCAGCCTCCAATCAGCGGCGCTGAATCCGATTTGCGATGGTGGATCAAACAATCTCCGACGGGCCCTCTACATCTCTTTTATCATCTTGATCATTAATTTGCGATGCGGGAAGGTCGTCTGATGAGAATGTCTCATTCGTTTAGACCTCGCGGGTGACCGTGTGGCGTTGGCGGGTCCGGACCTGATCAATGCACTGCGGTTTGTCATTTTGTCATCTCTCACTAAAATCGTGGCGTAGGATTGTAATGCTTTTATTCACAGATTTTAGACGCTACGTTACCTAACGCCGACGTTAAAGCATGCCGTAGGCCTGGCAATAAGCCGCCCAGTTTAAATCACTCATATGAGAAGCAACGTTTGGTCCAAAACAACGCTTCGGTACGATCAAACGTTGGAGGTTACATGAAAATGAGATTGGACAAAATCCATCCAGTCAGCTACTGACATTTTAGAGCCAGATGCATGTGCAAAGCATAGACAGGTTTCACACGAATTCACCGACGGGTTTCAATATGAGTGTTGTTCTTAACCGGGACCATTAGCTGGTCTTCAGTGATGCAGCCTATGATTAGTGGCTAAACGTGCGGTCCCCATGCGAGATTTTCTGATATTCAAGGTAGCCTATCGTGTGCCATGAGAAACATGACAGCGGCTCTCAGAGGCGTTCGGAAGCCATACAGTCGGTTTTGTCGCTACAGACAACCTCTTCTACGCAAGCTTTAGAGAAGACTTGACTAACAGCCCCCTTTAGTAGCGCCCCTTTACAGCCTCTGTGTAATATTGCTCTCTGCAGGCTAAACCGACACTTGCATGACCTCCTGAAAGACCGGAGAGCCTCTTTTGGCGTTGAATGCTCCTGTTCTCGCAGTCATGTTTGTGGATACAAAGGCCACTCGGAACATTCCTCATGACAAACATTTCTGTATGATCACTCATCATCCAAGATCGGCATCACACGTCTGAAATCGCAAGCTGGTGATCGCCTAAGCCATTAACCCTTCACCGCCATTTGCGTACGCATCATTTATAATGAATATTGCGGAATGTCTTGCACGCTTGAAAATCCTACTTCCGTAACATATTTACGAGATAGATACTTGAAATTCAAATAAACTGGATGCGACGAGCTAGCATCAGCTTATCTGATGCAAACTCATTCGCAAAACAGCGGTGCACATCATGGAGTTTGAGGCGACGGGCAGCGCCAGCTCACCATCGACGCCAACTCACCATCGACGCCACCTCACCATCGACGCCAACTCACCATCGAGCACTTCTGTCTGAGCTTCAGCGTATAAAACGCAGCCAACGAATCATCCGCGCATTCCCAACTACCATCACAGGCAGCCTGCACCTGACCGTTTTTTGGGGGCCGACATTTGCCAACGGAACACAAGGAC